TGAAATCCCAAATACCCCCCCCCCCCCACCCCCACAGGTTGAATGGTTTCAGGTCTTTAAATTAGTAAACAGAGGTTGCATGAATGAGCAAACTGTTGTGTTAGCATCACCATGATGCCATTTTCAAGACTACATGTAACAAATTATGAAATGCTTATACTCAAATAGTTTTGAGTCTCTAAATTAGCATAATACACATATTTAGTTCAGTTAGCCCTGTAAGCTCACTCTAAAGGGAATTACCCTCTGTGAATTAACCTAAAAGTATAGCTTGGTATATAGGAGAGGTTAACTTTTATTAGCGGCATAACCAGGGTTGTAAGAAAGTTTTGAAGTAGACAGCTGAGTTGTCAAAGTAAGCGGCTAGTGCAGGGATATTTTATTTAAAAAACGCTATCCATAAAGAAATGCTAAGCAGGGTAGCCGGCCGATATTAACCATGTAGGCAGCAATTTTCGCCGGCAGCCTTCTACTTTTGACAAACCCGGGCACAACTCAATTTGGACCTTCAAAAGGTCCTTTGAAGCCATGCGGTTTTGCTTTGTTGCTCACTTGGGTCACTCAAACACTTGCTTCGCTTACCCTAGGACACAACCATTTTACTAATAGGAAAATAAGGGGCTAGCTCACAAAAAAGGGGACAAACTTGTAGGGGGTTAACCTATTAGTTGGTGAACACAGTCACTGATTATTTGTTGGGGGGGTTAACCTATAAGGTGGTGAACACAGTAACTGATTATTCCTTGAAAATGGCATAATGGTATAATGGCTTTTACTTTTGCATGTTTGGGCATAAAAAAAAGGCATTCAGACACAATGAAACAGATGATTTGACATTCAACTGGCCAAAACATGGTCCAAATTAAAACCAACAAATCTGGAATTCACAATCAAATGCACACGATGCAAAGAAGGTCAACGATGACAGTCATGAGGAGAGGCAAACTATTGAGAGCACATCATTAATACAGGACTTTATTATATAAACACCAATGAAATACCAAGTAAGCTTTCGTGCAAAAAACTTGATACCGTATCTTCACATGTGAAAATAACATGTTATCTTCACATGTGAAAATATCACCATTGCTATGGCTTCATAATAAACCGCTCCTTTCAGACCAAAAAACTATTTAAGTAAAATGGTTTGGCATTTCATTGGTGTTTACATAATAAATAGAACATTACATGGTCACCTGGAGATACAAAATTTCTCTTCTCGTGTTGGAAAAAATATTTCATCCGTTCGCTGCGCTCACTCGTGAAATATTTTTCAACACTCGAAGAGAAATTTCGTATCTCCGCGCTCATGTAATACCCTCTATACATTCTGAGGGCAAAATAATTCTGACCTGTAGCACATCCGTTATAATGACATCATCATCGTCCCTTGCAAGAGAAAAATAAGACAGCTTACACATGGTAGCAAATTGACTACCAGCAGTACAAGGATTAATAACAGGGTTTGTAATCTCTTTTGAGCCCTTCAATGACTTTTTCTGTGACCTTTTTCCCGTTTTCAATGATATTAGGTATACAGTGTAGCTGTCACTTTCAAAAACTATCAAAACTATCCTCGTTTTAGGGTATTTTTTGACCTTACTAACAGTACAACAGATATATCTTTGCTGTCCACCAAAATGTGTACCATTAACCTAATTACCTGTTTCTATATTTCACTTTGCCCTTGTTTTGACGTCTGCAGTGACTAATCTGACAAACAACTTCAATTTTCCATGACCAACAATTAAATCCCATGACATTCGAGGCAAATTTCATGACTTTCCAGGTTTTCTATGACCTACCTCTGCGAACCCTGAATATCCGCACAAATCAAACCCGCCTTATCTTCGGTGCAATATAATTTGAGCTTACAACTTCTCACTGCACCCTGAGTAAGACACATAGTACGATTTCTGAAGGCAAAGTTTCAAAATTTCTTTGATCGTACAACACTACTGACTTGCTCTGATATCCCCAGACGTCGAACTGTCAGTCAATTATACACACAATTTACGCCACCCATCTCGCTATTACAAAGCTTATTATAAAATAAAATATGGGAGAATACCTTTCCCTTCGTCTTTTATCACCTGCTTTCCTCCCAGACCGAGAATATGAGCGAATATTGTCATAAAAAGACGATAAAGATGCCAACATGGTGGTCTCACAAATTTACCGCCATCGGAAAACCACTGGCCAAATGCAGGCGACTATGACGTCGATTACGACAAGTTGCAAATTTTTCATCCCATTGTTTTTTCTTTTCCTTTTGGTTTGTTTACTTTTTTTAACTCCGGGAAAAAAAAAAACAATCATATCAAAGTCTCTTCTTTTCAGAAAACTCAAATGAGTTTATGATGTAGGCTCGTTACACGTATTATTGTAATTTCAGTTGATTATATTACGTCACACGCGCAAAAGAGAGAATTTTACTCTTGTGTCATGGTACATGCTTGTAAGAAAAATCGAAAGAAAAAACGTGCAAGGGAATGCGGATTCCGGAATCCAGGAAATTTTTTCTTCAGGAATCAGGGATCCGGGAAATTTTGCTTGTGGAATATCCGGAATACCTCTTAAGGAATCCGGAATTCCAAGAACTTTTAGCGTTCGCAATCTTAGTTCCAATGATAAAGAATCGAAATCTAGTGAATGGAATCCTTAATCCGTGGAATGCAGGATCCAAGGCTGTGTTGGATTTCATTACGTGGAGCCGATCTAGGCAAATGATCGCGTGTTTTCTTTCTTTACACACGGATTTTTTACCTTGAGCGAACGGCCTGTTTCATATACTTTTTTGCAAGTAAACTGGCTCAGTGTTGCAGGCAAGGTCCTGTTGTGGGATTTTTTCGGGGGGGGTGAGGAGAGCGCACGCGAAAAACAACTAGTCAGCAATCTGACAAAAGCTATAAAATGTACTTTTTTCATATCTGAGTACCTTCTCTAAATGACGGGATATAGCCTTCAGGCCCCAGTTGTTTAACTGTTGGATAGCACTATCCACCAGGTAAATCACCAGCCAGCGGATAAGTATTGAAGAAACCGATTGCGTTATCCACTGGACAGAGATTTATCCAGTGGATAGCGTTTTGAACAACTAGGGCCTGGTTGAGGGGCCTGGGGCCCGTTTCTCGAAAGTCCCGTTAACTTTTCGGGCCCGAAATCAAATATTCAAATCGAAATAAAAAGAATAAGAGCACGGGTCCTGTCTAGCAAACTACTGCATTTTGTTTCGTTAACTAATAGTTTTATCATGTTAGATGCAAAACTATTGAAACCTCGATCTTTAATGGAAACCGAGACAGCTTACCGGGCCCGTTAATTATCGGGACTTTCGAGAAACGGGCCCCAGTTCTCCAAAGTGAGTGTCAGCTGACTTTCTAATTATGCGCGCGCTAATCACAAAAAGCATTAATTGACGAATTAAATGACGAATATGGACTCTACGCCAATTGATTTCAGCTTGAAAAAAGTCGAAGTCGATTAAGAATATATACCAGATCGTTTTCTGTGGACGAATTGTTAAACGGGAAAGAATTTATCTTGAGGAAACTTTTGGGATGTCTCCCGACTACAATTCATATTATGTCAAAACGGGATCGTCGACGCGATCATGGCTGACCATGAAGTGTACTGAAGATCTTTCTTCAGTCGTTGACGAACGTATCCTTTTACATTACTTCAAGCATTTTTTGGCTTTCAGACAGCATAATTTGAGCGTTCATTAAGACATTTGTCCGGTTGTAAAAATGTTATTATTTCTTTCCGCAGAGCGACATGTTTTCATTTTCATAATCCTGCTCTACGTTTTAAACATAGTTCTTTCACCACTTGTTTTAAAAAGTAAAAGAGAGGCTGAAGGCAGGCGCGCGTGCATTTTGAAAGAGCGCGCGCTGTGACCTCAAAAACGTGTAACTATGGAAATAATAAGAAGAAAGTGTAAACAAACCAGTCGGAAAAGTATTTGATGCGGCGAGGTTTTAGCTCACGGTGTAATCCAGTTATATTTACCAGCACGGAGATTTGTTTACAGTTATAACCGTTTGGTATTGTGGTTGGTTTTGCTGCCAATTCTGAGAAGAAACGTGATTGACAGTTTAAAAGTCAGTGAATTCAGCCTTTAAATCCCAAGTTTGTGAACAGTTAAATTAAGGTAAGCTGAAAAATTTTATAGCGATATAGTTATAGCTTATTGATCCGTTACAAAGCTAGTGACATACTTTGAAAGTCAACTTGATCTACCATCCTAATTAAGTCCTTGAAGGCAAAAAGAACTGAACTAATTGATCTAATTGACATTTATTTGATATAGCCCAGTTGTTCATTGTGAAAATGCGTTTTCACTAATTTGATTGGTTAGGTGGTCGTGCAGCATTAGCCACGGAACCATCAGCTCTCGTAAAAAAGAGGGCATTAAATACTCATTCTCACAGAATGAAATTCTTATGATCATTCTTACGGAATTAAACACAACTAAATTCATGTATATATTTTAGTGTTTGCTTTTGATTAAATAAATATTTCATCTGTGTCCCTGTTGCCTGCCCAGCGCACCCTAATATCGTGTCATTTACTCTTTTTAACGATTATTCCTGTTCGCCCGGAGAAATGTTTAGGGCCACACCTCGAGTCGGTAAGAAAAATCCATTATCGTGCTTCCAGTTTTTACATTAATCGTCGCATAAGTTAATTTCGATTCACGTCATAGCTTGTTAAAACAAAATTAAAGCATGCAAAAAATTCGACGCAATTGTAGTTTGCTGTGTTTTTTTTTTTTCGCTCACTCGAAAAAGCACTCCAAAAGGAGGAAATTAAAAAACTAAATTGCAACTAAAACTGACTGAAACATACTCACTCGGTAAAACACACTCCCTCAAGCTGCCGTGATGGGACATATCCTTTGGAGATTATACGATTAGAATTAGAATTAGTATTAGAACTAGTCGTTCAAATGCTCTGGCTCAAGCAATGATAATAATTTGTTTGTAATTTTTCCAGCCATGTGGTACGACTCGTTCGACAACGGTGAGCCATTGCAGCTATCGCAGGATAACGACGCAGGTTCCTATCAATTGTTTGGAACCTTCAGTGAAAAAATGTCTCAAGATGACTTCGATGATTTCACAGAACAAGAAATGCAACAGCCAATAAACAGCTACAAACCTCGGTTTCCGACCGAGGCATGGCCTGAGAAGAATAACTCATGGTACATGCAGGAAATTCCATTAGATTATTATTCACCCGGAAGTGAAAGGACTCAAAGTGAGCATGCGCAGATAGGCTTCGAAGGTCCACCTGTCAACTGGTTTTCTGAAGTTCCGGAGGAAAGAAATAATGTTCAGGTATGGTGGAAGGTCTTAAAATATGCTCTATAAAATCAAAATTCCGAAATTATCTAAGACAGTTATCCTTCTGTTCGGTGCTCATTACAAACACCGTAACAGAATCAATAAACTCTTTTCTACTTTGTATTACCTGATTACCCTAACTTCTTTTACCTATTTTATCGCCACTCAGTCCGCTCGTTTCATCCTGATCTAAGCAGTACTAGGGCGACAGCCACGCGAAGGCTGTACTATAATTCAACGCTCAATTAGAGGTACCCCTTGTACCCACTTGAAAAGGAGCATAGGCAACCACTGCGAACGTCAGAAAAATAAGTGGTTTCATAATTATGAGAAAAACAACACCACTCCAGTTTGCACATTTCTTCGACGTTCACTGCACGACGTGAAATTTCCCCAAAACCGCGTTTTATGGAGGACGTGAACACGCGATGACGAATTGTACTTTCTCTTTTCGCGCTTGACCTTAAACACAGTCCTCAGCTAAGAATTCAGCTCTTGAACAGTTCGTCTACATTTTCGAAATAAACCGTCTAAAAGGCATTAAAGAAAAGTCAAGATTCATTTCTTTTAATGACGTTGAACGCCGTCACCATTTTTGCCTGAGCTGTGATTTTTTCTTTAAACTACTGATCCCTGCACTCAGGCTAAGTTTAATCACTGATCTCATAGGCAGGCAACTGGCAGGCAACCGTTGCTAACTGGCAATTTCAAGTGTCATTTCCGTAGGCATCTCGCTCCAGAGTATGGAACGTTCTACTTCATGATTATACAGTCCACTAATACGTACCCCTTACAGCGGGCTTAGCGCGCGCTGTGAGAAGGCTCCGCCCAAAGTTGATTAGCGCGCTAAGCAAGAAGCGGTAGTTACCAATTTAAACTTAAAGGTGTCCACTAAATCTTGTTTCTAAACTTGGAATGAACTTTGTAGCTTTAGTGATGAAAAAAGAAAATAACCTTCTCGATTTTTTGGCGGGATTTTTTTGGCGTATTTTCTTTGTTTTTGTGGCGAGAGTACGTATAACTATGCATGAGTCAGATAAGTTATGCAAGAAGTGCATAAGTTGGGTATAATTACGCACACCACCACTATGCAACAGCGGGTCAAGGCGTTTTACCTCATATACTATTAATTTTGAGGTAACTGGTATAACGCTCACTTCAGTTTGGGTGTTGTGACACGATAAGAAAGGTTGTCTGTTAGGGTAAAATCGTAACCACTAAATAATTGATCGTTACTATTATTCTTTGCAGGAAAGGAGCACGGTTCTTAATAACATCCAGAATTTGCGTTCGACACGTTTCACGATAGACGAGGAAATCGCAGAACAGAAGACCCTAAACGCTTCCATTTTAAAACAGTCATCCGCAGTGAAAGAGCACATTTATAAAATGATTTCACAAAATGAAAACCTGCAAAACGAATCCCAAATCATGGAAAACAAAAATCTTGAATTAGAAGCCAAACTGGATCAAGAAACACGGCGGTTGGCAGAGAGTATTAGAAGTAAAAGAAGAGATATGTCGGAAATTAGATATGACGCCGAAGTGATACAGGCTCGAAGGGAGGAAAAGGCGGAAATAACCGAAGAGATCAAAGACCTTCGGATGAGCTTCGAGGATGTAGATCTAGATATTTACTGGCTGGAGCATTTTTACAAGGTTGACTATGACAAGATGGTCATCTTTCCTTTCTGGAAATTAGAGCAGGATTTGGAGAGAGCTCTTCAAGGCGAGGACCCCACTCTCTATAAAGAAGAGGGACCACAAGAGAGAGATCATGAAGCTGAAGGAGATGGTTATGATTATGAAGATGATGACTTCTTTGACTATGAGGAGACAATTGACGAAGACGAAAAGGTAAGTTAAGACTGAACTCGATCGGTTAACCCGCTCTCGCCGTTGGCTACCTTTACAACAAAACGTTCCCAAAAAAAACTTCATTCCTTTATCTGTCTGAAAGAAAAATATTGTAGAAGGCAGTATTATTAAGACGGCAGACCACAGGATCTCATTGGCAGACTTACAGTAGATATAGGACCACTGTACAACCTGCAAAAAGAGCCCCTGAAAAGGTTTCGTGTGACATTCACACCACACGGTTTCGTTTCCATACTTTAAAGCTAACACCTGCATAATTAGTGATCCCATCGTGGAAAAGTACTTGATGAGCAGTCCCGATTAAGACAACTGAGTTTCGTTGCTGCAAACAGTCACGCTATAGGTTTTCATCTGCAAAAAATAATTTTAAAAGCGGCTTAGACCAATAGCTAATGATAATAAAGGTTTTCTTTTTTGGTTGCAAATAGCTTTTTGATTGTGCATGGATTTGACCTCAATAAGAACATGTTTAAACAAAGTGTTTATGGGGAGTGTAAAAACGGTGGATGTCGTTTAGCACTGATCAGCGGTACACACCAAAAGTTGAGATAAATTTTTTACGTTCTAATATTTATTTCTACGCCTAGAAGAAAGATATAATTATTAAGAAGTATTGCTTCCTTAATTGTGTTCAGACATTTTCGAGATAAATCTAATTTAAAGCACAACACGTATTTGACTTTTTCTAGTCCATAGACGACTTTGAAGAGGAATCGGCCAAAGAAGACGCCACACCTGAAAGTGACACCTGTCAACCAGCAAACCGGGACTCTGAAACTGACAACTGCAAATCTAAGTCAGGAAGATTGAATGTTCTCAAACTTGGCCGCAGATTTAATAGCTTTATCGCAAATATATCCTCTGGCTTTGGAAGGAGTGCTGGACAAAAGTTGCCAAAGAAGAAGGTAAATGTTAATGGGAGACAGTGTCATAGATTAACAGTGAAAGCTGAATTCATACACTGAGCACGTTTTATATAGATTCCCTTCCGTGGGGCGAAAAAAGGGCGAAAGTCAGGGGAATGAAAGAGAACAAAACCAGCTGAGGCGGAAAAAGTAAAAGTAAAAACACACCGAGAGGCCTGGCAAAGTGTAAAAAAATAAACTCGCAGAGGCTGGAGAACTAGTAAAAATAAAACGAGTGGATTCTAGGAATTAACACACAAAATAAAAAGAGGGACGTTAGGAAAAGAGTGAAAATATAATGGGCGGGGACTAGGGAGAGACTGAAACGAAAACCAGGTGGACACTGGGCAAACGTTGAAAAGAAAAAGGGAAGGATCGAGTACAAAACGATGAGGCACATAAAGCCTGTAGGCTAATGCTTCAAACGCCCCGACTCCTGGGTAACCTGTGCGTTTTAGTGTTGCTTAACTACGCCAGTCTTTACCTAGAAGATATCAGCACTGTTATACAATATCTCTCATTTTTCATTCATTTGCAGAACAACAATAAGTCATCTTGTTTTGTGCCTTGGTTCCGCCGCGTTTTGCGTCTTCCAAAGTGAAACAGAGCACGGTTGAATTGATCAGTTATGAACTTCATGTCTTAAGACAACGAGACCAATGCCTCAAACGACAAGCTGCAAGTCCATTTGTTGTACATATGTAAATAGCTAAATGTTTTATGTTCGTTTGTTTCAGTTTAATTTTTTTTCAACACTAGATCGCTAGTTTAGTAGGTTAAGTCATAGTTTTTTAATATGATATTATTGTATATAGAAAGTGGGATATTAAAATGAAAGTCTGTTTCATTGAATTCAGTGTCTAATTTTGTGATTTAATATAATCACATTTTGATTAGAGGCCCTTTCTAGTGCGTCACTATGTCAGAGGAGCAAATTTCACCGCTAAGCTTCGTTTGTAAGCAAAATTATTCGCTTTTTCCCTCTTTTTTCAACCATACTGCCTTGGAAATTCACTTCGCAACTTCACAATTTCAGGACGAGTCTTGGTGGTGAACTTTGATCGTCTGAGGTACACATGCATGAGGGCTGTTACCTATGGCCCCTTTTTCAAAGCAGGTCCTGGTGCTGATCCTTTGTATGAAAATACGTTTAGCAAAGTCGGTTAGTGCGCGGTCGTCTGTGCGGAAGGTTCCGAGTTCGATTCCCAGTTCTGACCTCAGATCCTTTGGGGAAGAACGCTCTGTCCGGCCTCAGGTTTGTCATTCTTATGTGCTGTTACGAGTTACCGACGTAGAAAAGAGACCTTTATCTCAGTTTGCACAGCGTCTGAATGCTGAGATAAAAAAATTCCTTAACGCATAAGCGTTACATCTCATCGCAACTTTTTAGGAAGTTCCAAACTGTCTGCAACATCGACCTTCCACAAATGTTGTGACTATTGCGAGCCAGAACCATTATTCGCTTTTTGAACCGAATATTTTTGGTTTTAAACAAAAAAAAAGATGAAAGTGGTAAAGATCCAGTTTCAAGCAACGACACCCCATACACAGAGACTCTCGTGATAATGCATTAATGGGGTTGTTTCTAGCAGCTGACAGTGATACTTGCCTAGGAGGTGAGGGATTGTCAAGAGAGCTGTATACGGGGGACTCCATCCGAAGACCGGTCCAGCGACTTACCCTTACCCAGATTTCCTTAGCCTTTCATATACTTAAACTAGCGAAACCCCTACCCTTTCATGATCATATTCCTGAAGGCTTAACAAGGTACCCCTTTTGGGCGGAGCCATTACAGGGAGTCCCTTCCCCCGGGATACTTGGCTATACTAAAAATTAATATCCTTCCCGAAACTGCCTCGTTTTGTGTTGCTTTCCCTTAATTTTACGCCCAAATTAAATCGCATAGAGAAAATAATCGATAAACGTGTTTCCAGGTAGTTTAAGTTTATTCTACATTTTTACCCGTATTTCAGCGTTTTGAGAACCTTTGCGAATAGCTCAAAACAAAAAAATTCGGGTTGTAACAAAAATAGGGAGCGCAGAAGAATCGATCTTGGGTTTCCTGTGAACTTCATCGTTATTATTTCTCGTACGTGAATATATTCCAATCTTCTCTAGAGCCAACACTCCTTTTTAGAAGAACACCACTGTGAAAAGGACTCGACCATCCTTAGGATTGAAACTTAATGTATGTCAATAATGTTTTCAAGTCATACCTCTAGATCTGACTCTCTAGAGGGTGGACACCACCTATTAACTTTCACAGTCAATCTTTCGGTTTCTTGAACCCTTTCACTGCCAAATTCTAATTTCGACCAAATTTCGAAATTTCATTTTGTGAAATTTTGAAAAACAAATAGCACCATGTGTGAGTTCAGATAGAGAGGTTTCATTTCAGTGGTCACATCATAGGATTTGGTCCACTGACTCAAAAGTTAGAGTCACCTTACAAAACTCCATCAAACACTCTGGCAGTGCAAGGGTTAAAGACTTTTGACTTTACATCGAAACAATATCGACTCTTTTTATATTTTTGTAAACATATAAAGAAATGTACAGTACCGTCTTCATGTACAATAATAATAATAGTAATAATATTTTTTAAAATATGCCCGTTAATATATGAATAATAGCCTAATAAGCTATGATTATCAATATATATTAAAGATATATCATAAATTTATAAAGATTTGCATTACAGATATTGCATTGTACCGGCAAGAATCTAGCATCAATCGGATTGATGACCGATATTCTAATTTAAGACTATGAGACAGTTTAAAAGTTAAAAAAGTGGATTATATACACCAGGTGAGGTTTTCTTGAATTCATGGTAAATCAAAGTTCTACTTAAAGATTCTAAGAACTTATTTTAGATCGATATCGTCTGGTTCTCGAAACAATAGATTTGAATTCCGGCCCTAGCTTTATTGCGGGATTTCAGGAATATCAAAACTGAAATTTGCGTATTGTTCTTTCAAGTGATTTAGGAATTAAATTGCGTGCATTCAGCTTATCTTATTGATTCGATTAAACGCCGCGGCTTTTTATAAAAAAAAATTTAGCCTTTGGGATGCGGTGGTTCTTGAAGGGTGACGGAGATTCGACGACGACGTTTGTATAAATATCGCATTTCCTAAATCACTGACAACAATTAGGAAAAATCCTTCATTTGTAAATATTTTACAAAACAGAGAGATGTGTAAAACGCCCTCGCTTTCTTGCTGAGACAGAATCCTAATTGCCTGGAAATTGTAGATTACAAAGACGAAACTGAGATTTTCGAACAAACGCGGCATTATTTCTCATTAGGTGTAGCGATAATTCAAGGGCTGCCTTTATTGATGATTTTGCTTTTATCTGCGGCGTTTATTCGACAGCGGTGTTTAATCGAGTAAATAGGATACTCCGGTCGTTCTGCTGACATTTATTACAGTATAATAACTCGATGGTTGTCACTGTCTGCGACAACGATGAAACCCCCTGGCGTGATAGCCACACCTTTGGGGTAGCACTTCTGTCCCAGTCCGTTGAGACCAGATGCAAGTGTTGCCTCCAGGCTCCCGTCTTCGTTAAAAACCTGGATGCGGTGGTTATATTGATCCGACACGATCACGTGATTGTCCATGTCAAAAGCAATGCCAGTGGGATATTTTAGCATTACTTGGCTGGTCTCCCCATTGCCGAGTTCCCGTACAAAATTTCCGTTGAGATCAAATACTTTTACTGTGTGATTGTTACTGTCTGTGACAAAAATGTCTCCCTTAGAATTTATGATAGCATGGTACGGCTGATCCAGCTCTCCTTGAGCGTTTCCATGGCGACCGAATGCGCGCAAAAGACTGCCGTCCTCTTTAAAAATCTGTATCCTACTATTGCGTCGGTCGGTGACAATGATTTCGTCATTATTCCCAAGGGAAACTCCCCAAGGGCGTTTTAGCTTTCCTTGATTTTCACCATAGCCACCAAATTTGTTGATAAAGACGCCATCTTTTGTGAATCGCTGAATTCGATGGTTGTCTTTGTCACAGACAACAATGTTTCCATGTTTATCGACTGCCACATCAGTCGGGTTATTCAGCTGCCCGTTTTTCTCACCAAGGTTTCCAAAGCACTTGACGAACTTTCCTTGCGAATCAAAAATCTGTACGCGATGATTGTGACAATCCGCTACGAGAATCTTGCCCTCGCCATCGACAGCAACGCCACAAGGAAGTTTAAACTTCCCACGAACCTCTCCCAGGCTTCCAATGGACAGAATTGGACGAGTTATTTTGCTATAAATTCGGGGATTGGTGACCATTACCTTAAACGGACTTCCTTTTATGGGTTGACGGTGGATTGCGATACCCACTTCGTGCTCGCCGTTTAAATTCGGTGTGAAGGCGACTGCATAACTTCCGTCACCCTTATCCACGACTTCCGACGAAACAGCAGCCTTATTAGGACTTCGGACATCGATAGTTATCATATCGCCACCTCGGGTTTTAGGATGGTCGTCGAAACCTTTGGCAGTCACAACAAATTCAGCCTCTGCGCCCACGTGACCTTTTACCAGTCCATCGCCACTTGCTATTGATAACTCCGAACAAGTATCGGAAACAACTATGTGGCCGAGTGCTTTTCGGGCAATCTCGTTTGAGTTTGGGTCGGGAAAGTAATATACGTTTGTCAAATTTGCCGCTTTGAAATCCTTTCGAGTGTTCGAAACTTCGTTTAGCCGTCTTTTTAAGTGCTTTTGAATGACCAAGATCTCCAGTTCGTTGCCGAATTTGACCGCCCTCTCTGTGTATTGGCAACTACCGCTTAACCGTTCAAGAATTGACTCAAAATGCTGCTTCTCTTTTCGAAGTGAGTTCTCTTTGGTTCTAAAAGCGCTGTTCAGTTCATCCAACAGTTTTTCCTCTTGCTGTTGAAGAGTAGCTATTAAAGTTTGAGTATTTTCGCGAATTTTCTCTTCCATTGAATCACGCTCTTCCTGAAGTTTACAAAGTAAAGTCTTCACTTGGTTCAGAGATTTTCGCGTGTTTTCAATTTTGCTTTTTCCCTGTCCAAGCAAACTAGCCATGCTGTGCTTCTGTTTGTGATAAACGTCTCTGAGATACGAAAACTTGTGTTTTCTATGCTCCGAAAACGTACAATCGAGACAAATCGGCTCATCGCATGTCTCACAGAAATACTTCAATTTCTCTTTCTGGTGATCCGGACAGCTTCCGAGGACACTCGTCAGTTCGGGTTGCTCCTCAGGAATATCCTCGAGGAATTGCTCTTGAAGGTGGTGCAACGCGTAGTCTTTTGAATGTTTGTGATACTTGCGTTGATGACTGTGCTGAAGCGGAGGCGAACGTAGATATTTTGGGTTCGCTGCCGTGTTAATCGTAACAATTTCCGCAAAATAACCATTTAACAGCGCCCTAGGGGACGGCGATATCTTATCCGGGAGGAACGAGCTCATCATACAATCATAGAGCTTCTTCTTTAAAAATTCGTCGCTCAAATCGCAAAATTTACCAGGATCCATTGTACGTGAGGCCTTTGAAAATGTGAAATATTCGACTCCAAGGAAGCGCGTGCTTATGAATATTGCTTTACTCAGTTCTGTCGGTTAAACCACTTGAGAATAATAATGTTGTCGTAGTTAGTAGCAATGTTTTCAAATCTAATGTAAGCAATTTTCACCGCGGGGGACACTGACGAGGAAGTATTATTCCCTTATTAATTCTTGGCGGGTAACCAATGAATCGCCGACGAACATCTATTTAGTTGGCTCGTCCGCCATGAGATGTTTCACGAAGTTTCCTGAAAGGCAAGGAAAATAAGAATAAAAAATGTATTCTAAAAGACTAATATGCAAATAACAAAAACCGCATCAAGACAAGAAATCTTATTTACACAAGCCAATAAAATACCTAAAAAGCTGCCAAAATCACAACGAAGAGCAAATCAAAGGAACAAAATTTGTTTGAACTTCGATAAAATCACGCGACAGCAATCCCAAACGAAAACATGACGAGCAAATTATATGCACTAAAGACAAATCTCTCGCTCCTGAAATTGCAGGTGTTTCTAAGAGAAGGCGTCTTCTTCCTTCCGCAAAATAATTATTCTTTTTCAATCAATTACATTGATGTCTCAGTTCTGACGGTTCTAAATATCTTGACACAATGGGAAAGCGTTTTGATTGGCTCTCAGCAAAATCCGCGTCAATTTCAGTTGTTTTGTTCCGTTAACACCAACACTGAGCTAGACGGCTTAAAAGCAACTTGTGTAAAGGTTCAAATAGCGAATATCGTCCATTCAAAGATTAATTGATAGCATCTCCATTGGGACCAGCTAGTTTTCGCGTGCGATTTGAAGAGCCTATTAATGGTGCATTTACGCGGCGAAAAAGGATTAACCCTTGCCCCATCGCTTTGTACAACGAGATAATTATCACAAAAGTAATTAAAAATCCTCTAATCCTACTTTTTACCACAGCCAGCGTAATAATAAACACCAAAATTGCTGCTCTGAAAAATCAACACGCATGACAAAAGACCTAGTAGCCAATCTTGTTAAACTGAGATAGTGCTTTGGGCAAAGGGTCTTATTAAACCTTCTGTGCCTTCATTCACGATATACCGTTGTAATGCCGCAACTGAATCACAATTATCATGATGGTTGTTTGACGATGAGGGGTATTTTTAAGATAGGCTTTTGAGTGAAACTCCTGTTTTCTGGACGATGTTTACGCCCAAAGACAATGTCAATTGAGGGACTTGTCAGAAAAGCGTTGTCAAGGCTGTGTTTCTGCAGTATAATGCACACTCTGGATGTGCAGTGGGCCACGTCTGCGAAAATTTTACCCATGCATTTGTTTAGTTTCCTCTAATCAATTATGGGCGAATCGAAAAAAAAAAGAACAATTAACGACGAGTACTTTGAAATGATCACTGATGATCGATAATGTACGTTGTTTTGAGTAAAGTAATTGGAACAATAAAAAATGAAAGCAGGATTCCTTAAGTGTTGCCGGTTAGCCGGTAAAAAGCGTTTCTTGCTTTTTCCGAGTGTGTGTTCAAAATTGAACAACGTTATCTTTAATTTATCATTCTTAATTAATCATTATTATTATCATTCTTAATTTATCATTCTTCATTAATTTATCTTTAATTTATCATTCAGTGATGTCAGGGAAAGTTTACCTCACCTCTTTGGATTGGTTATAGCGGGGGTTCGATCACAACAGCACAATAACAAATGCCTAAATTTTACTTAAAGTTAATACTGTGTAACTCAAGGTTAAAAAGAAGACCCTAAACCTACTATTAATATATAATCTATTATCTACAAAAGGGGTGATCTAGTGTGTTAAAAGGCTTAGAGAAAGAATTTTAATGGTAGCTTATTTAGTTTGAAAACTTTTGGTATTCAGTGACTAACCGTGACTTTTGTAGTGTACGTGAGTTGGGAATTAGCAGTTAGCCGCAGAGCTAATTGGGCTAAATCCTTGCTTCAGTTTCCTTGAAAGTGAGAATTATCCGGTCCATTTAACCGAACAGGCTGTTAATGCTTGTAATCCACACAATTAAGCTACATTTCATGATCATCAATGCATCCGATGTTTTCATTGCATCGGTAAACAGCAAATATTTACTATTTCGCCGAATACCACGATCACTCAAAGGAGGACGGCAAAAAGTGTTTATTTAAAATCTATTTAAAAACTACCCCCTTGCATATTAAACTGATTCTCGTACGTCAGTTATTTAAATTCAACTTGAAAGTTCTTGAAGAGTTCTTCGTCTAGAGTTTTATTTGAGAGTTTCACTTCTTTTTGTTTTATAAAGGAGTACTTCATCTGCCATACTGAATTCAACCTGGATGAAAGAATTTGCAAAGTTGATTTTAAAGCTTCATTGTGGCGAAATAAAATGAAATCTACGAAGAAATGTTTCTTTTAGTCATGTTCTAGTTATACTACTAAGATTACTGTTCTAATTATCTGGAGCCCAGCCTAGTGTCTTAATCAGTTCGTTCAATCTTTCAGTCTGAAAGAGGTCTTTAATTTAAGCTATTTATTCAAGTAAATGCTTCATCTTACAACTTTGCAAATTGCTAGCACTGGNAGAATTTGCAAAGTTGATTTTAAAGCTTCATTGTGGCGAAATAAAATGAAATCTACGAAGAAATGTTTCTTTTAGTCATGTTCTAGTTATACTACTAAGATTACTGTTCTAATTATCTGGAGCCCAGCCTAGTGTCTTAATCAGTTCGTTCAATCTTTCAGTCTGAAAGAGGTCTTTAATTTAAGCTATTTATTCAAGTAAATGCTTCATCTTACAACTTTGCAAATTGCTAGCACTGGGTGCACCGTTGACAGCGCCTGTAACAGCAAGTGAAGCACTGTCAAACGGTAAGTAAACTTTCCTTACATATTCATTTTGGCTTTAGTTGCAAGAATTGATCGTTAGAAATACTGAGAACTCTGAGCATTGTCCGTAACTCGGCTGATAACGGCAACAATAAAGTTGGCCTGTGCTAACGAGCTCTAGTGGTTACTGGAAGTTTATGGGAAATTAGCACCTCAAAGTTTGCCAGAATTAAGATGACTCGAGCCGTAGTCGCCAATCTACTTCAATCAGTGGAATATGCATATTCGTCTCCGCCAATCCGCCCGTAAAGATCATACTGTACTCTTCAGCTTTGTAAGCAATTTCACTTTTGATGCCGGAAAAATGTTGAACTGTTTTGTTATCGGGCGTAATAGCGAACAACATTTTACAGTCGGGATAACACTATTGTTTTAAGCGGATGATCTTAATAAGATTCACTCGAATAAAGTAACTTTTTCATTAACACGGGATAAGTTTTCTTCACCATAGATTTGCTATTCAAACTGGCAAATGCATGTTACACAAAACCGATGGCATTTCGTTAACAGTTTTTGGCAGTTTCCTTAGAACCTTTGCCGCGAATTCATGTGTGGGCCCATTATGTTTACAACATGCTAAATGTAACAACAAAGGCGAGATTACAAGTGTACATAAAACCGAAAAGTCCGGGACTTTAGAGTTCTGTCTATTAATCCGTTCCAATTCTTTTTTGGATTGTAATCTTTTCGATGATAACATCTTTAATGCCACATACGCAACTGTGGAACTCTCTCAGGAAAGAAAACATCCTTGCCAAGCTTTTTGAGAAGCGCATTTGTACTACATCTGATATTACACAATATACATTATATAAGTGTTAATTTATCACAGTTGAGTCACAAAACGTTGTTTGAATCATTAATGGTGCTGCAATAACTTACCAGAATCTTGGAATGCAGTCAAGGAGGCCAGACTAAGTCGATGCCCTTTGCTCACATTTTTATTGAACTATATATGATCCCGAACATGCGTACTCACATGCCTAGTAGTTCAGTCGCTGTAAGACGTGTGGAATTATCGGCATTTACGACCGTCTGCTTGATCCAAAGTTGATTTTTTTGTAGTTACGAAGTAAATTAGCAAAAAGATTTCTGCCTTTAAAGCCAGCAATCGAACAATAACGATTCAGCTGTTTTATTGCACGTGTGAGTTTTAAATACAATAAATACATGCGAGTTTAAAAGCCCTTTTTGTTAGCCTGTATGACGTGTTGTTTGCACAGGAGATTGTAAGCGCTTTGGTCTGTGAATAAATTACTTTCAACATCGCGTCATGGCAACGTTTGCCAAAGAAGCTCTCTCCTTCCCACTGTGCAGGGCTAAACGACCAGCATGGCTAAAGCTTATCCTGGCTTCTGTTGAATGAATCATTTAGATCAAGCTACAGGCACTGCTATCCCTCCCTCAGTGGTATGGGTTGTTATGCGCGCCGTATTGCTTGGTAATTATATCACAGGCATCATTTACACAGCTGGGTTAAGCTGGAGACAGTGGACCTTTACGTTGAGTCGGGTCGGTGGGTGGGCATAGAGGACAAGCATTTTGAGTCCATGAGGGAAAACTGGCTGGCTTTTTCAGAGAAAGCCCTTCTCCAAAGCAAGCCGAACGAAGATCCGCCTCTACATCGCTTTGCCTATTCCAAAGTGTTTGCTTGACGAAGGATTTGCAGAATCCTAATTGTTTTAATGCATCGGTCAAATCCAAGACTCTGTCTGTCGTGTGTAAAGCCACTAGTCTAAACACCCATCCTGTAGCTAACCTTACTGTTCACTTTCTTCTCACTCGAAGCTCTCGCATATGAAACAAAACTTGAAAAATTTTAACTAACAAACCTGCTCTACCGCATCATGCAGCTATTCTTTGGACAAGCCCTCCTCTGACAAGAGAATAACATCTTTGTCGAAGATGGAGAGTTCTGCTGTATTGAGTTAGATATCAAAGCATCTTCGTTCGAACTTTTCACAACGACTTCTAACCTAGAAGGCTTCACTCCACACCCTTAATCAGTGAATTGAAGGGTATCAAAATTTTTAGACAGACCGTTCCGTCGCAAAAATATCGTTTCTCTCTGGCTAGTGCGACGAGGAGGGCCGACGCAAGCTAGTCCT